CCCAGGCGGGAGGGTATTCCGGGGGGGGAGTAGACCCCCCCCCCTCAACGGCAGAGGGGGGGGTGGGCGGGGGGTTGGTGGACCCCCCTCCCCCTTGGCCGGGGGAGGGGGGGTGCCGGGGGGTTGGTGAGCCCCCTCCCACCTGGGCGGGGGGGGTTTGTGCGGGGGTGGGTGAGGGCCTCCCACTGGGCGGGGGGGGGTGTGGGGGGGGTGGCGCGCTTGGTCCGCAGCTGTGGCGCCCTGCAGGTGGCTGAAGGGCCAGCAGGAGGACAAGCAGGACACGGACGTGCACTACCACTCGCTCACGGGCGAGGGCAACTTCAACTGGCGCTACCTGTTCCCCTTCGACTACCTGGCGGCTGAGGAGAAGATCGTCATCTCCAAGAAGGAGTCCATGTTCTCGTGGGACGAGACCGAGTACAAGATCCCCGCGCGGCTCACGCTGCAGATCTGGGATGCCGACCACTTCTCCGCCGACGACTTCCTGGGTGCAGAGCGGGCAGGGCCGGGTGGGGGTAGCAGCCGGGGTCCGTGTCCCGCCTCTCCCCCCGCCCCCCCTCCGCATGCGCTGTGGCTGACAGCCGTGGCCTGAGTTTAGTGCAGGCGGGAGCAGCAGGGAGGGCGGCCGAGTGGAGGCGCTCGCTGAGGCCGCGGGGCTGCAGAGCCGTCACCCAGAGCTGACCGGGCGGTCACTGCAGGGGCCATCGAGCTGGACCTGAACCGGTTCCCGCGGGGCGCGAAGACGGCCAAGCAGTGCACCATGGAGATGGCCACCGGCGAGGTGGACGTGCCCCTGGTGTCCATCTTCAAGCAGAAGCGTGTCAAGGGCTGGTGGCCCCTGCTCGCCCGCAATGAGAATGACGAGTTCGAGCTCACGGTGGGCAGCGGGCGGGGCCGGGCTGGGGTGCCAAGGGCTGGGCACCAGCCCCGGGCGCTGGAACCTGCCTGTCCTGTCCTGCACAGGGCAAGGTGGAGGCTGAACTGCACTTGCTGACGGCGGAGGAGGCGGAGAAGAACCCGGTGGGCCTGGCCCGCAATGAACCTGACCCCCTGGAGAAACCCAAGTGAGCGCCCCACCCCGCCACCCTGGCTCCTGGGGACTCTGGGACAGGAAGGGGCAGCCAGAACCTTCCCACCGTCCTCCCCTCACACCCAGGCCCCGGCCTCCTCCCTCCCCTCTCCTCCCGCTCTGAACCAGAGGAGGGGCTCTGGGCGCAGGGAGCACCGCCCCTCCCAGGGACGCCCTCATCCAGCAGAGGCAAAGGCTGCCCCTGGTTTTTGCCAAAGGCAGGCAGCTCCGATGGTGGCATGGGTGGCATGCAGGGCCCCAGCCGGCGCAGGCTGCCGGGGAAGTGCTTGGAACTGCACCGCGTGGCCCGGACGGGCTTCCCCAGGCGCAGCCAGCCCAGCCCCAACCTCACCTGGTTCTCGAACCCTCCGGGCTGCCGCTGTTCCGCGGCACACGAGCCACTGGCTCTGCCTGACGCTGCTGCCCTGCCGCTCGCTCTGTCCCGCTGCTCTGTGCCTGGCTCCCTGGGCAAGACGTGAGGCCTGCGTGTCTCCCTGCTGCCTGTGGCGCACACACACACAAGTACATACATAAGCACACGTGTGCATACAAGCACACATACACAGCAACTTTCACGTTTTTATTTTTGTTTAAATAATTTATTTGAAAGGCAAGGGTAGAGTTAGAGGAGGAGAGAGAGACACACACACACCTTCCATCGCCTGGTTTACTCCCCAAATGGCTGCAACGGCAGGGCTGTGTTAGGCTGCACCCAGGAGCTTCTTCCAGGTCTCCCTCGTGGGTGCAGGGGCCCAGGCACTTGACCGTCTTCCGCTGCCCTCGCAGGTGCACTAGCAGAGAGCTGGATTGGCAGTGGAGCAGTCAGGACTGGAAGCGGCGCCCAGATGGGATGCTGGCATCGTAGGCCGAGGCTGAACCCACTGTGCCACAGCGCCAGCCCCAGCCCCAACTTTCATGTTTTTAAAGCTGACTCATCAATTCCCAGAACTGGAAGTGACTATTTTACATTTTTACTTACTCGTCAGAGAGGGGAGGCAGCTCAGCAGAGTCCCAGAGAAACAGGCGGAGCCTGTCAGTCCAGCGCGCTCTGCACCCCAGCCCTGGCTCACACTGCCCTCCGCCAGCTCCACAGGCGGGCGGCAGGAAGCTGAGATACGGACAGGGAAGGGGTTTGGCTGGGACCTGCCAGCGAGTCGTGCCAAGGCTGCTCCCAGCGCGGGGCCTCCCACTAGCTCCATTCGATTCTTACTCTCTCAGCCACCATGCCTGTGTCAGTGCCCCACGCACCAGCTCTCCAAGCGAGGCTCTACCGTGAGCCCCATTTTATAGAGAAGTCAGGGCTCAAAGAGCCACAGCTGCAACTTGAAGCCAGGTGTCCTCTGCCCAGCGCCCGCCCCATGGCTCCCCTTGCACGGAGCCCAGCTGGGGGAGCAGCCCAGGCCCTCCAGGAGGGCAGGGCACTCGTTTGAAAAGCCCCACCAGCGCGCTGAGCCCCTTGGCAGGGCCTGCCGGGGTCGGAGGTTCTTGTTCATCAGGAAGAGGTTGAGCAACACCGTGTTGGGGTGCGGGTGGGGGAGGAAGGGCGGGCACTCAGATCACACACCGTGAGCTGCCGTGGCCACCTGCTTTCGAACAACTACAAGGGCCTGCAGCGGCCAGCCCCATCGCTGCCCGTGCTCGCATAGAGCCGTCCAGGCCCCGGGGGGGGGGGTGCAGGAGTTCCTGCAGAGGGCGCAGGGCTTTGAGAGCGGCAAGTCAGCTGCTTAGAAATGGACTTGAACCTGGGCTCCAGAACCCCAGCTTTGGAGGCTGGGGCCGTGACAGGGCCTCGTGGGGTCTGGGAGGACACTGGGGTGAGGACTCCCAGGGGCGGCTGTGCCCTCCCTGACGGAACCCTCCCGCCACGCTGCAGCCGGCCGGACACGGCGTTCGTCTGGTTCCTGAACCCACTCAAGTCCATCAAGTACCTCATCTGCACCCGCTACAAGTGGCTCATCATCAAGATCGTGCTGGCGCTGCTGGCGCTGCTCATGCTGGCGCTCTTCCTCTACAGCATGCCCGGCTACATGGTCAAGAAGCTGCTGGGGGCGTGAAGGCCGGCGCCTGCTGCCTTTGCCCTGGGGAGCCCCAACCAGCCCCTCGTCCTCACCTGCAGGCTGGGGGGCGTGGAAAGGGATGGGGCCGCAGAGCAGCCACCTCCTGCCCCATCTTGCCGGGACACCACCTCCTCCAGGCCCTGGCTCTCCAGGAAGTCTCCCCAAACCCGCCCTGGGCTGAGTCTGGGACCCTGGGCCAGGGCCAAGGGCTTCCAAGAGTAAGGAGCAAAAGGTGCCCCCACCCATCCCCTAGACAGACTGAGGAGAGCTGAGGCCACCAGTCCCCACCCCCAAGCCCTGTGGAGGCTGCTCCGCCCACTGCCCGTGGCTCCTCCTCCTTCCCAGGCAGCCCCTATCCTGTTGCAGGTTCCTGTCACTCCCCACAGCTCCCCAGCCCAGACACGAGCCGTGCCCTGCCCTGCGGCTGCAGCCAGAGCTCCCTCTCCAAGTGCTGCCCTCGGCCTGCACCTGGGTTTCGGCCGCCTTTCTTCGTTTCTTGAGTGTGACTTTTCTCTTAATAAAAAGAATCCAAATCCTGGCAAGGCTGCCTTGGTCTGGGGGGCGGGGTACAGGGTCGGTGAGTCTGGCTCCGTAAACTGGGCACCAGCTGGGTGCCTACAGCTTTGCCCTGCAAGCGGCCTCTCCTGGCCCAGGGTTCCGAGCAGGTCCAGGCTGTCCATGGGAGGAGCCTCAGCCCACAGCCCAGAGGGTACGCCAGGTGGACCCAGGGGCCCTCCCAGGGCACCCAAAGTGTTCTTCAGGCCTAGAGACCATTGGAAGGTGGAAGACCCCACAGAGACCCCAAAGCGCCAGCTTCCACCCATAGAAACCAGCTGCTTGCAAGGCAAGAAGGGGCCCCATGGCCCTGGCCATGGCCTCTGTTCACCCCGTGGGTGACTGCAGCCTGGGGACTAAGTCCACAATGACACAGGCAGGGCGGCGGCCCCCGTGTCACCAGACCTGGCCTCTTCAGAGAGATTCAGCCACAACTTTTTTTTAAAAAAAGACTTTAATCACAACTGCAGGAGACAGGCAGTGCAGGCCTCTCGTTGCCCTGTTCTGATGGGCTCATGAAGACGGCTCTGGGAGACCCAGGGGGTGGGCCCGAGCACAGGCAGAAGGGGCCAGCCCTGACACTCAGCCCTTTGAGGTCTGCTGCTATTTTGTGGGGACCCGGAACACCTGAGTCGGAGGAACCTGCAGTTCCGAGTTTATCTGGAAGAGAGAGAGTGAAGGTCATCGTCCTCCCCTGGGCCCTCCCGCAGGACCCGCAGTCAGGGGCCCAGGTGGCTCCCCACGGCCGCTTCTCCTGTCCAAGGCCCAAAGACGCCTCTTGGAAAGGCCACGGCTGCCTCCTACCCAAGCCACGGACGGGGCGTCAGCCCCCTGCGCCGGTCTCCGCCTTCCCCTCTGATTCACTCTCTCAAGCCCTGCAGGCTCGCCCCAGACCACAGACCACAGACCCTGGGCTGGCAGGGTGGAGGACCTCGGGACCACCAGCAGGTGAAACGGGGGAGTGAGTCTGCCCCAGGGAAGATCACACAAATGAGGCTCCATAGGCAGTGAAGCTACTCCTGGCTTTGGTGCTACTTAAAAACCAGCAGTCCCAGGCCGGCGCCACAGCTCACTAGGCTAATCCTCTGCCTTGCGGCGCCAGCACACCGGGTTCTAGTCCCGGTTGGGGCGCCGGATTCTGTCCCGGTTGCTCCTCTTCCAGGCCAGCTCTCTGCTGTGGCCCGGGAGTGCAGTGGAGGATGGCCCAGGTCTTTGGGCCCTGCACCTGCATGGGAGACCAGGAGAGGCACCTGGCTCCTGGCTTCGAATCAGCGTGATGCGCCGGCCGCAGCGTGCTGGCCACGGCAGCCATTGGAGGGTGAACCAACGGCAAAAGGAAGACCTTTCTCTCTGTCTCTCTCTCACTGTCCACTCTGCCTGTCTAAATAAATAAATCTTAAAAAAAAAAAAAAAAAAAAAAAAACAGCAGCGGTTCCAGCAGGGCGCTGGTGCCCAAAACCACAGCGCCCAAGGGACCTGGTCACAGCCCGGCTGCCCTGGAGCAGACTTCGGGCGTCGTCCACTCCGGTTACTGCCACCACTTGAGGTGCGGCTGCAGACTCCTCGCCCCGCACCCCCAGCTCCTGCCCTGCCGACAGCGTGGGGTCTCGGGGCCCCTCCCTGGCCGCACCTGGGCGTTGAGATACTGTCGCAGCAGCTGCTGCAGCTCCGTGTTCTGCTTTTCCAGGGACTCGTTCTCCAGCAGCAGCTTGGCCCTCTGGGTAAGCACGAGGCTGTGGGCAGCAAAGCAGGGTGGAGGCCCACAGAGTCCCCGATCCTTGGCCAAGGATGGAAGACCCCAGACACCTCGCCTTTCCCCAGGCCCCTCACTGAGCCAGGCCCGCAGAAAAGAACAGGCAGGGCAGGGCCTGAGGGCTGTCACCCCCAACACGAGCTGCCAAGGGCGGCTTCTGTCTCCCAGGCTTTGCGGGAGCAGGGCGGCGCCCCGTCCCGGCCTCCCGCTCCAGAGCCCTGACGCATGCTCACTGGTACTTCTCCAGGGCTGTGTAGAGCGCATCCCAGAGGTTCTGCTTGGAGGAAGGGATGACCGTGGTCAGCGCCCTCCAGTACTTGGAGTCTTCGGAGTCATCGCGCTCCTCCTTCCGCATCTTCCGCGGTGCCCGGGCATCCCTGAAGGTCAAGAGCAACGGAGCCGTCATTGGCCCCCTCCCTTCCCCCTGTCCCTAGCAGTGCCGTCACCTGCTGAAGCCAGGCCCACACTGCTCTTCCACCCTTCCTTCCCGCTCGGCTCTCCGGGCCTGACGATCGGCAGGACACGGTTCCGGGCCCTGGGTACCACCGGACATCCTGAAAGCATCACCACCCCCACCCCAGTTTACGCCCCGCCCCCAGTGACTGCATGTCCACACCCACTTCTTTCACAAGGGCATCTGAAACGGCTCTCACTTGGTCACCCCCTCTGATGGCCTCAACCCAGGACACTGTCACCTCCTGAGTGCTCTCCCTGTATTCTCTCTCTCTCTCTCTCTCTCTCTCTCTCACACACACACACACACACACACACAGCTGCCAATAGGATCTTTCTAAAATGCAGCCCTGACCTGGGCTCCCCCGCGGCTCCCAGCTCTTTCCTGGCCCCAGGCCCACAGGCGCAGTGAGAGCTGGCCGGCTCCTCGCCACCAGCCCCAGCCTCACAGCCCATGGCACTGTGGTCATCCCTCCCTGTCCTGAGTCCCGGGCGCACCAGGCCTTCCCTTGGGCCCTTGCGTCCTGAAAAGCCCTGTCCCCACCTGATGCACCTGGGAGCACCCAGCTCCTGTGCCAGCTCCTCCCAGAACCCTCTCTGATAGGCCACTTCCTCGTGAACCACACAGTGCACCTGCTACCGTGCTCCGGCATTGTTCTCTCCATGGCGCCCTCACCTGGCAGGCCTAGCAACTGCTTGCCAAATGAATGCATGATGAGTGAATAAAGTGCCCAGCACTGCCATACCCCTTTCCTTCTCAGCCCAGCGACCCCTCCGGCCCTCCTCTGGAGGCCCACTTCCTGCCCCCGCGGCCCTCACTGCCCTCTGCCAGGCTCCGTGCCCGAGCCGCGGCTCACCTGGGCTTCCGCAGGCCCATGACAAAGGCCTCCAGCACCTTGAGGACGTCGTTGGGGTGGATGAGCTTGGGGGAAGGCGGGCTCTCCCTCTCTGCCTGCTCCCCTTCCACCGGGCTCTCCGCCTCCCCCTCGGGCGCCGTCTGCTCGGCCAGCTCCTCCTCGGAGGCTGACGTCAAGCTCAAGTGCTCGGGCACAGACACCACGCTCGTCTGCTCCATGAACGACACCGTGCTCAGCCGCTCTGCGTTCACTTGGTCCGAGGGGGCGATCTGGGGAAAGGTGCAAGGGGACCACGGTCAGGGACGCCCACGCCCCACTGCAGGAAGGGCAAGCATGGCGTGAGACGTCCAGAAACCTGGCCGGGGTGGAACAGAGGCCAACATGGGCGGGGGGGGGGGGTGCTGGGAGAGGCACACGAGGGCTTCCAGACAGCACCGGGGTTCTTCCACATCTGGTCACACAGGGGTGCATCTCACTGATACTCTTTTTTTAGGATTTATTTACTTGAAAGGAAGAGCTACAGAGAGGTAGAGAGAGAGGTCTTCCATCCACTGGTTCACTCCCCAAATGGCCACAATGGCCAGAGCTGGG